GATTCACCTGGTCAGTCTATGTCATGGAAAGAGCAGGTGTTCATAATATTTCATATACTCAATGTAGGTTAACATCTGTTCATTTTGCCTTGATGAGAGACATTATTCACACAAACTAAGTATACAATGGCAGCATTTGTATTTTATGGATGTCTACATTTATGGATCTCTTCTCTCTCTCTCTTCTCTCTCTCATCTCTCTCTCTCTCTCTCTCTCTCTCTCTCTCTCTCTCTCTCTCGCTCTCTCTCTCTCTCTCTCTCTCTCTCTCTCTGTCTCTCTCTCTCTCTCTCTCTCTCCCTCTCTCTCTCTCTCTCTCTCTCTCTCTCTCTCTCTCTCTCTCTCTGCACCATAGAGAAAGTATCCCTTTATCGTTCCCATTATGGCATCTGTGAGCACACGGGCAGCGCCATCGAGGTAATCTCCATTTTGAAGTAGGCAATTGTCTTCTTTCACTACTTCTATGAGTAGGTAAACCAACTGAAAGGGTGCATACGGCCACCTCCTGGAGTGTGTTGTCTGAACAGGTATAAAGCCAAGGTTGGCGATTTACTGCCACCTGCAGTTATGGAATGTTTGCTCACAAGTATAATTCCAATGGCTGATCCCTCCTGAAGACCCGGATGGAATCATGTGATCATTTTTAGTGATCCCAATTGACATTTTAATCATTTAGCTCTTATCCAGAGCGACTTACAATTAGTGAGTGCATACATTTTTCATACTGGCCCCCCGTGGGATCCTTCCTTAACCCCACCCATTTGACTACTGCAAAATGGTGAAAGCCCTCAGTGGTGCTGCCCATGCTAAAACTGGCTTTTGGCCACTAGAGGCCTCTATCATTCTCTATTACATTTTTCTACATTTTAGTCATTTAGCAGACGCTCTTATCCAGAGCGACTTACAGTTAGTGAGTGCATACATTTTTCATACTGTATTTCATACTCTATAGTGTACATACACTGAAAAATAGCTACAGAACTGGTATAGGATGGGTGAGAGGTATCCAGTGGCGATTTTAGCATGTACATTTTGGTGGGGCCAAAGAATATATATGTGGGATGCATGCCAGCAAAGCCACTACACTACACAACACTAAACAATACATTCATTGCGCTATAACGGTGACAAACGGTGCCCACAAACTGTTAGGGCCTCCATAAAGCTGTCCCAACAGCAGAGTCCCAACAGCAGAGTCCCAACACCTTACCACTGCTACACCTGGCTATCAGAGGAGCCTTGTCTGGCAGCGAAACAGTTCATTCAGCCTCATTTACTGTCTTTTAAAAAAACAAAGCTGATATGGCTGACTTGCTTAAACAAATGTGGTTTCTACTGACAATTGAGATGTACAAACTATGGCATAAGGGGACGACAAGCGGATAAGAGGCAATCCGTAATTTCGATTAAGACATTAATGAGCGAGCTAGGACGGACGTAGTCAATATAACTATTTGTTCAGCACTTTTGAAATGTACTGCGACAGAATTCAGAACATGGGCCATTCTTACATTACACCAAGTCAGAACCGTAGGATAAATAAAGGGGGCATATAAGCAGACAATGAAAGCTCTTACAATATTCGATGATTACATTTCTCTAAAACAGGTTACAGGCTACATGTGCACCACCAAGTCAGAACTGTAGGCGAAATTAAGAGGTGAAAATAGACCAAATGATTAGGGTGAGGCACATGGGCTACTAACAGCTTACTACACAACACACACTTAGTGTTACTTTCTTAGCTACAGTATACATATCTCCCTGGCATATTACATCATTTATGCAGCAGCATATAATACATTTTTGGACTCACCTTGTTGTGATGTGCTCACTTGAACAGGAAGGTGGCGCGGAGGTTCTTCGTGGGAAAAATGTGTCATCAAAGAAAGAGAAAGAGGCAGGATTTACAATTCCGAGTTGGACGTACAAAACGTATTTTTCCCAGTCAGAGCTCGTTTATTCCCGACTTCCCGGTTGCAACGCTTGCAGTTAGCCGCTGTCACCGATTCCTTCCAAACCACTCATTGTTGAATTTGTGATTTCCAACTTGTTGTGTAATGTTTATGTCCAATGGCAGATGAGCACCTATACGTTTTATCTATAATTTCTCTTCATTATTTCTCTTCGTATGACAAGGATTAAAAAGGATTTGCCAGTGGATGTGTCGACTTGATTCATGATGATGGCTGCTAGCTTAGATTTTGAAAGTAAGATGTTGACATGATCAGTCCAATCAAAGCTACTGTATATATAACGTGATTTGACGTAATTCTATCTGTGGCCAATGACCTTTAGCCTTGTTGGAAGGGCACTTCTAATGTAACTCTATGGCAGGACCCAAAGGGCTTGAATCTTCGATGTCTACCCTTACTGAGGATTTAGACTTGGCAGGGATGTAGTGACAGAACACTGAGCCAATCACGGCGCAACTCTCCTATTTTCTGCTGGCTTGCCCCACCACCACAGAAAACAGTGAGCTAGGCTGAAACACCTGAATTTTGGAGCTGCCTTACTCAAGAAAACAACAAAGAGACCTGTATGCCGCTTTATTAACTCAATTATATATATATATATTTTTTTTTTTCTCCATTGTTTGCAAACTGATATGTGACACATATTAATGACCAAATCACATACAAAACAGGCAAGCCCCCTCTATTTGGTATTTTATTTTTGTTGCTAAAAATGTGGGGCTCAAAACAGAATTAATGAGGGGTCGGCACTGGAGGTAACACAAAGGGTGTTTCTGCAAGAATCATAGCATTAGAAAGAGGACTCATCTTTTATATCTGTGCCATTATAGCGTCTGTGACAACATGGGGAGCGCCATTGAGGCTACAATGCATAGGAATCCCCATCCAGTTGACTATTTTAAAATGGTGGATGATGGCAATGTCCATACTAAAACAGGTTATATCCATGATCTCTATGCCAAGAATACGAAGGAGAGAGGAGGGTAACCTTTGACCATGTATTAATTGATCTAACTTTATTAAACGACACCATTCGCCAGAGTAGCCTGTAATTCTCTAGCCAGCCGAAGGAGTAGAGCATAGACTGTGTGTAATGTAGAGAATTCTGCACATGCGCAGAACCTCAGAATTGGAGCTATTGGGAAGAGGGTTCCAGAGAATTCGGGAAAATGCAGCCTCTCCGTAATTAGTATTCTATGTAACGGAACTGAATATAATAGCATAGTATAACGCTACTCTAAGACAACAACAAAAAACACCACCTAATTTATTATGAGATTTCAGGATGATTGTGCGAATGGTCGCATTTCTCTCATGTGCCACGCCACTAGGCAAAATGTGTGCTTTGATTGAAACAATACAGTTAGAATAGGCCAACAGTTTGTTAAAAGCAGTTACTTTGGTAGCTATGTCTATTTAGGTGGAAATATACATTTTTGCCATTACATAGTCACTTGCATGACATTCCAGAGCAGTAGAGGGCAGTATGCCCAAAAAAGCGTTTTCTATTGCCAACACGAACAGATGATTGGCTCTTGGTACAAGGAACCAAGCAGTTGATTGGTTGCATTGCAAAAACCCGGCAGAAGACAAGCGGTCGAAAGAAATAATACGGTACCAGCTGTTCATTTTCAGGTAAAGTGCTCCAGCTATAGTTCTTATCCATATACTAAGGACGACATTGTCTTATGATGCACTTCTGCATCACGTTGATGGGATGTCGCTTAATTGTCTTGAATCTATCAGTTTCCAACAGCAAACAACAATTAGCTAGCTAACATAGCGCTGGAGCTAGCTACCACGCTAACTAGGTTACTCATGGAAGCTGGAAGGTTAGTTAGCTGCTAGCCAATCAATCTAGAATTTTATTTATTTTATTTTACCTTTATTTAACCAGGTAAGCCAGTTGAGAACAAGTTCTCATTTACAACTGCGACCTGGCCAAGATAAAGCAAAGCAGTGCGATAAAAAACAACAACACAGTTACATATGGGGTAAAACATAAAGTCAAAAATAGAAGCCTTGCTTTTTGTTCGGGTTACGACGTTATGTTTGTCTGTGTTGTAAACATTGACTCCTCACGCTATGACTGGTGTAGCTAACGTTATTGCAGCTAGTTCGCTAACTTGGCTAAGTAGGTTATAGAATGGGAGCCAACTAGTCGGTAAGCTATTGGCTTACGTTTAGTTAGCTAGTAAAACTCAGAATGATGCAGGTGATGATTTTGATTGATGATTTTGTCAGGTGCAGAAGCTAGCGTTACTAATGTCTTAGCCCTTGATCATGACTCAGTTCCAATACATTAGTCATTGGACGAAGGCGTTTTCTGCAGGGGTGAGTAAGGGCATACATTTTATAGCACAAGGAAATATGTACGGGAGATAGTGTCATATAATGGGAACAGAAGGGAGGAGGTTATGTTGTGTAGGATGAGATTAGGGCATACGGGATTGAATTCATCTTTGACATTGATAAGGAAACATGTTACTGGAATGTGCAATGGCAGTATGGTAGAGGACATGTATGATTATTATTATTACTTTGTGAAATACATGATGTAGAAAAGGAGAGGTTGTTTAACACGGTCAGTGAGGTTTGTAAGGAATTATTTCATTTTATTAGAAATGCAGGGTTAGTTAAGAGAATATAGTGGGATAGATAGGTCATGAACGGCCTCACACGCCAGTACAGTAGGTGGCGGTGTATGCACCTGTCAGTTGGTTGCGATTCGCTAATAAAACTTGAAGAAGAAAAAGTTGTTTTCCCGCAGTTCTGTTAACGACGGCGAAGGACGCTGTGTGCTAGCTTAGCCATCAGTCCTAAGGAGGACGCCGATACGCAAGCAATGTTTATTGACATTTCTAAACATTCAAACACAGTGTCGGGATTGTAGTTGACATGAGGCAGTCTTGGACGAAGCTAATGTCTGAGAACTGTAGGGACAAGGCAGAATGCCGCCTAGAGTTTGAGCGCTAGGTGAAGCTAGGGTAGCTGTATATATCTCACTTACTTTCCCGTGTTCTTCTTATTTCTATTTCTTGTGTGTTTTTGTTCTATTTTATAGTGCTATATATTGATGTTGATTACTGCATTGTTGGGAAAAGAGTTTGCAAGAAAGGCATTTCACTGTACTCGTGCACGCGACAATAAAACGTCAAACGTTAATCTGCCTCTTTTCTTGCGGCAGGAGCCCAGCGATAGATGAACCATGGTTGATCCACTGGAGAACGGCTTGTTTGACATTCCTGACAATGACAACATGGATGAGACCTTCCCTCCTCTCCCTCCTCCCTTCTCACCAGGAGAGGGAGGAGATCCCTTTACAGGTGAGGACAATGACAACTATAGCTCACAGTACCTAGCCTGCTTCCAGATCTGGTTGTGCTGTTTTTGCAAACTGCTATGGGTTGCTTGTCATGCTTATGATCTGGGACCAGGCTACACACAATACCCAACACAAACCTGTTGGCGGACTCTGTGATATGACATCATCACTATATACACAGCTGGGAGACTTGCTGCTTACAGACAATCAATGACAATATATAATGGGTAGATATGGTTTCCATTGATCTCATGATGGTTGTTCAGGGGAGGGCGACGGAGAGATCTCCAAGTTGGCTGAAGTCCCTGCTGCCAAGAGGAGAGGCGTCAAGAGACCACAGCCTAAACTGGACTCTCAGAGGTAGGTGCGTATTAGCCTGGAGGCCTGACCGTTGAATTGTATTGTATTCCACGTCGGGCATAAATTAACGTTTGGATCAGGAACGTTTCCTCTCACAACCTCTACAAGCCAGAATGTTGAATAAAATGATATTGTCACATACTTTACCGGTTGTCCGTGTGGTTAGAAACGTGAGACAATATATCCACAGGAAAGTATAATTACGGCAACTTTTGGAAGCGCTGGTAGTGCGTTCATATTTCTATCACCCGACGCATGCGCAGAACCATGTGATCAGGTGCACCAGCTTGGCTAGTATGCATGTTTTCATCTTGTGCGCTTGCTTCAGGTGATAGAAATATGAAAGCCCAACCAGCGCTTTGAAAAGTTGTGTAATTATACTTTCCTGTGGATATATTGAGTACGGTTACATGCACACAATAATGTGATTTATTGTGGATAGTCAGATTAATATAATAGTTTGATTTTTAAAACGTTTACATGCTTTTGTCAAAAATAATGATTCCCCTAATAATCCTGTTTTTTAAATGGACACATCTGAAATCAGGCTACCTGATAGCACTCTGATAAATGCAGAAAATCATCAATCAAAATAAACGTTCTATCACAGTCAACATGTTATTTTTGGGAAGCATATTTGATTCTGAGTTCGGACGTGTAAAGTTTGTATGTGAAAACTATTTCCAAGACCCATACATTCAGTTGTTCCTAACTTACTTAACTCGTGCTAAAGAGGGAGGCTCGGTCGGCTGGTGCCAACACATGCCCAGATAAAAAACACAACTGGAATGTTGATTAAGGTGTTTACATGTCCTAATAATTCCAACGATTGCTCAGAAAACCTGGTGTTTTAATTGGCGTATGCTTACTTTGATTATGACCGTACACCGATTTTAAGATAAACAGAGTAAGGTGTTTACATTACTAATACCATACTCTATCTTCTGCCATAATCAGTTTAATATCGACTTATTTGTGTGCATGTAAACATACTCATTGCCTCACATTCCTACCTGCAGAAGGACCAAGCACACGGACAACCGGTAAAGTAAGTTAAAATATAATTATATTCAACATTATAGCTTGTAGAGGTCGTGAGAGAGAACCTTCCTAATCCAAACGCTCATTTATGCCGGATGTGAAATTCAATGTCTGGTTTCTAGGCTGTGTGGGTGTGTTGTGTGACTGTGTTCAGAGAGTGATTGGTAACTCTTGGTCCAACTAACCATGGCAAAACCCCCCTCAGTTAGGCATGAGATTTGTCCATATGGGAGAAAAGTCACATCATAGAAAGTTAGATTCATATGAAATATAATTGTTGCATATTGTCCCTGTTCTGTAACAATCAAAGGAGTTTGTAAAAAAAAACTGCAAGCTTTTGATGATCAAATCATTGTTGGATTCTCTTTGTCTTGGCAGCAACATTGCAGAGCTGTTTGATGCTTGAAGTTCAATAGCCAGTGTTTTTGTTAACATGTTTTACTCCAGGCTGACATCAGAAAGAGGACTTCCGGCTCTTCGCACCCTGTTTGACAACGTTCATTTCAAAGGCAAAGGACACGAGGTAAAGCTAACAGCAGATTCAAGTATTGTCTGTTGAGCAGATGGTATGTTTTGCCTATTTTATTTTTTACTCAAAGTGAAAGGCATCGATTGCCAAAAGGTTACCCAGGTAACTCCCACAGTAGCTAAAGGGTGTGTTTTTGTGTGTGTTTTCCACCAGGCTGAGGACTTGCGGGTGCTGATGCAGAGGATGGAGAACTGGGCTCACAGGCTGTACCCCAAACTACAGTTTGAAGACTTCATAGACAAACTGGAGACACTAGGCAGCAAGAAAGAAGTCCAGGTCAGACTGATACACCCTCGTTGTTATAATCAACATCCAGGTCAGACTGATACACCCTCGTTGTTATAATCAACATCCAGGTCAGACTGATACACCCTCGTTGTTATAATCAACATCCAGGTCAGACTGATACACCCTCGTTGTTATAATCAACATCCAGGTCAGACTGATACACCCTCGTTGTTATAATCAACATCCAGGTCAGACTGATACACCCTCGTTGTTATAATCAACATCCAGGTCAGAATCAGACTGATACACCCTCGTTGTTATAATCAACATCCAGGTCAGACTGATACACCCTCGTTGTTATAATCAACATCCAGGTCAGACTGATACACCCTCGTTGTTATAATCAACATCCAGGTCAGACTGATACACCCTCGTTGTTATAATCAACATCCAGGTCAGACTGATACACCCTCGTTGTTATAATCAACATCCAGGTCAGACTGATACACCCTCGTTGTTATAATCAACATCCAGGTCAGACTGATACACCCTCGTTGTTATAATCAACATCCAGGTCAGACTGATACACCCTCGTTGTTATAATCAACATCCAGGTCAGACTGATACACCCTCGTTGTTATAATCAACATCCAGGTCAGACTGATACACCCTCGTTGTTATAATCAACATCCAGGTCAGACTGATACACCCTCGTTGTTATAATCAACATCCAGGTCAGACTGATACACCCTCGTTGTTATAATCAATATCCAGGTCAGACTGATACACCCTCGTTGTTATAATCAACATCCAGGTCAGACTGATACACCTCGTTGTTATAATCAACATCCAGGTCAGACTGATACACCCTCGTTGTTATAATCAACATCCAGGTCAGACTGATACACCCTCGTTGTTATAATCAACATCCAGGTCAGACTGATACTCCCTCGTTGTTATAATCAACATCCAGGTCAGACTGATACTCCCTCGTTGTTATAATCAACATCCAGGTCAGACTGATACACCCTCGTTGTTATAATCAATATCCTGAAGTGTGGTGGAGTCAGCATGAATGTAGGGTGGAAGTAGTAAGTATGATCATCTGAATTCTTGCTTTATTTCTCAGACCTGTCTCAAGCGAATACGGTTGGACATGCCGTTAATACATGAAGACTTCATAGGCAACGATGGTAAGAAGAAAATGTCACTAACTACATTAGTGTTAGAAAATAGTAGTAGTAGTAGTGTCTAGGGTATAGATATGAGACAGCCCCAGATTAATAGTAGTAGTAGTAGTAGTGTCTAGGGTATAGATATGATGTAGTATAGAGTGTAGGTATGTTGAGTAGTAGTAGTAGTGTCTAGGGTATAGATATGATGTAGTAGTAGTAGTAGTGTCTAGGGGTAGATATGATGTAGTAGTAGTAGTAGTGTCTAGGGGGTAGATATGATGTAGTAGTAGTAGTAGTGTCTAGGGGTAGATATGATGTAGTAGTAGTAGTGTCTAGGGTATATGAGTAGGTAGTAGTGCTAGGTGATTGAGTAGTAGTAGTTAGTAAGTGTCTAGGGGGTAGAATGATGTAGTATAGTTAGTAGGTAGATAGTAGTAGTAGTGTCTAGGGTATAGATATGATGTAGTAGTAGTAGTAGTGTCTAGGGTTAGATATGATGTAGTAGTAGTGTCTAGGGTATAGATATGATGTAGTAGTAGTAGTAGTGTCTAGGGTATAGATATGATGTGTAGTAGTAGTAGTGTCTAGGGTATAGATATGATGTAGTAGTAGTAGGAGTGTCTAGGGGTAGATATGATGTAGTAGTAGTGTCTAGGGGTAGATATGATGTAGTAGTAGTGTCTAGGGGTAGATATGATGTAGTAGTAGTAGTTGTAGTGTCTAGGGGGTTGATATGATGTAGTAGTAGTGTTAGGTAGTTGATGTAGTGTAGTAGGGTTAGGTAGATATGATGTAGTAGTAGTAGTAGTGTCTAGGGTAGAATATGATAGTAGTAGTAGTGTCTAGGGGTAGATATGATGTAGTAGTAGTAGTAGGTCTAGGGGTATAGATATGATGTAGTAGTAGTAGTGTCTAGGGGGTAGATATGATGTAGTAGTAGTAGTAGTGTCTAGGAGATATGATGTAGTAGTATGTTAGGTGATGATGTAGTAGTAGTAGTGGTCTAGGGTAATAATGATATATGTGTAGTAGTAGTAGTAGTATTGTCTAGGGTAATAGATAATGTAGTAGTCAGGTAGATTATGTTAGTATGTCTAGGGTATAGATATGATTAGTAGTAGTAGTAGTAGTGTCTAGGGTGATAGATAGTGAATGTAGGTAGTAGTAGTAGTTAGTAGTAGTGTTAGGGTGAGATATGATGTAGTAGTGAGTAGTAGTGTCTAGGGTAGTATGATGTAGTAGGGTCTAGGGTATAGATATGATGTAGTAGTAGTGTAGTGTCTAGGGTATATATGATAGAGTGTCAGTAGATAGTAGTAGTATGTCTAGGGTTAGATATGATGTAGTAGTAGTAGTAGTGTCTAGGGTAAAGTAGATGTATGAGTGTCTGGATAGATAGTAGTAGTAGTAGTGTCTAGGGTAGATATGATGTAGTAGTAGTAGTAGTAGTGTCTAGGGTATAGATATGATGTAGTAGTAGTAGTGTCTAGGGTATAGATATGATGTAGTAGTAGTAGTAGTGTCTAGGGTATAGATATGATGTAGTAGTAGTAGTAGTGTCTAGGGTAATAGGATGTATGATGTAGTTAGTTAGATGTAGTAGTGTCTAGGTATGATATGATGTAGTAGTGTAGTTAGTGTCTAGGGTATAGTAGTAATGTCGTAGTAGATATGTGTCTAGGGTATGATATGATGTAGTAGTAGTAGTAGTGTCTAGGGTATAGATATGATGTAGTAGTAGTAGTAGTAGTGTCTAGGGTATAGATATGATGTAGTAGTAGTGTCTAGGGTATAGATATGATGTAGTAGTAGTAGGTAGTGGTAGGGTCTAGGGTATAGATATGATGTAGTAGTAGTAGTAGTGTCTAGGGTATAGAATGATTGATGTAGTAGTGTAGTAGTAGATGTAGGTGTCTAGGGTATAGATATGATGTAGTAGTAGTAGTGTAGGGTTAGGGGTATAGATATGATGTGTAGTAGTAGTAGTAGTGTCTAGGGGGTAGATATGATGTAGTAGTAGTATAGTGTCTAGGGGTAGATATGATGTAGTAGTAGTGTCTAGAGTGAGGTTAGATATGAGGTAGATATGTAGTAGTATAGTAAGGTCGGGTATAGATATGATGTAGTGATAGTAGTGTCTAGGGTATAGATATGTAGTGTAGGTAGTAGTTAGTGTCTAGGTATGAAGATTAGGATGTGGATAGTAGTAGTAGTCTAGGTTGATATGATGTAGTAGTAGTAGTAGTAGTTCTAGGTAGATAGTAGTAGTAGTAGTAGTCTAGGGTTAGTGATAGTATGTATATAGTAGTAGTAGTATAGTGTCTAGGGTAATAGATATGAGTAGTAGTAGTAGTAGTGTCTAGGGGTATAGATATGATGTTAGTAGTAGTAGTGTCTAGGGTATAGATAGTGATGAGTAGTATAGTAGTGCTAGGGTATAGATATGATTGTAGTAGTATGAGTAGTAAGTGTCTAGGGATAGATATGATAGTGTAGTAGTAGTAGTGTCTAGGGTATGATATGATGTATGTAGTAGAGTGTCTAGGGTATGATATGTAGTAGTATGTTAGTAGATAGTTAGTATAGTATGAGTAGTAGTAGTGTTAGTGTCTAGGGTGTATAGTATGTAGTAGTAGTGTCTAGGGTATAGATATGATAGTAGTAGTAGTAGTGTCTAGGGTAGATATGATGTAGTAGTATGTTATAGTTAGTAGTGTTAGGGTTAGTAGATATGATGTAGTAGTAGTAGGTATTATATGTCTGAGGGTAGTAGTAGAAGTAGTGTCTAGGTTATAGATGAGTAGTAGTAGTAGTGTCTAGGTATAGATATGATGTAGTAGTAGTGTCTAGTGTATACTATGATGGTTAGTAGTAGTATGTATGTCAGGTATGATGATGTAGTATAGTAGTAGTGTCTAGGGTATAGATATGAGTAGTAGTAGTTTAGGATAGTGAGTAGTAGTAGTTGTCAGGGTATAGATTATTATGAGTAGTAGTAGTGTAGGTCTAGGTTAGATATGATGTAGTAGTAGTAGTGTCTAGGGTTAGATATGGATTAGAGTCAGGTAGATAGTGTAGAGTAGTAGTGTCTAGGGTAGATATGATGTAGTAGTAGTAGTTAGTGTATAAAGGGTAGTATTCAGGTATAATATAGTATAGTATTAGTCTGGTGATAGTTAGTTGTCAGGGTATATATGATGTAGTATAGTGTCTAGGGTATGATATGATGTAGTAGTGTCTAGAGATATAGTATAAGTGGTTCAGGTAATAGATGTATGTAGAGTGTCAGGTAATATGTGAGAGTAGTAGGTGCTAGGGTAGATATAGTATTGTCTAGTTGATTAGTTATAGTGTCAGGTATGATTGATGTATAGTAGTAGAGTAGTGTCTAGGGTAGATAGGTAGTAGTGTGATTCTAGTATGATATGAAGTAGTAGTGTCTAGTAGATGAGTAGTAGTGTGTCAGTTAGATTATGTATGAGTTCGGTATAGTAGATGTCAGATGATGATCAGGTACTAGAGTGGAGAGGGTCTGTAAGATGATTGTAGTTGGTTGATAGTCAGTAGGTAGGTGTATATTTTCAGGTGATGAGAGAGACGAGTATAGGTCGTAAGATGAGGTAGAGCATAGAGTGGCTTAAGCGGATAATAGTTTTAGTTGTGAGGACGCGATAAAAGTTGATGTAACAGAGTATTAGGGAGGATAATGACTCTGTCCAGGGGTAGATATGATATTCGGGAGGACTCATATTCCAGTCCAGGAGTACGTATGAGAGTGGTCGTATCAGACTGGGGTGGCCATAGTCTTCGAGCGGTCGTCAAAGTAGGTGTCGTATACATAGTTTCTAGCTGGTATTGACAGAGTAGAGCATAGACGAAGTTAGGGGACGCTAGAAGTGTATCTAGCGTAGGCAAATATATATAGTGTTGGGATCTTATAGTCGGATCTTATATATGTATTTGGGTGCTGTGTATATGTGTGGTAGTCTATACTGACGGGCTAACCTCATGCTCCCAGTGACAGCATCTACTCAGTCCCAGATACCTCCAGTCCAGAGGACCGTATAGATATTACTGTAGTAGTGGTCTGGGTACTAGATATATTAGTAGTAGATTTGTATTGATTTCTATCATGTCATACTGAATTTCTAGCAGTCATGAACTGAATTGTACCACTGATTTACAAAATGAGATTTGGGATTCAGCATTATAACTGACCCATCTCCATTGGTCCAGGTGGGATTCAGCGTTATAACTGACCCATCTCCATTGGTCCAGGTGGGATTCAGCGTTATAACTGACCCATCTCCATTGATCCAGGTGAGGACGACGCAGTGGCATCGAGTGACGGACGTGTCGTCAACCATGACGACCCAGAACCGTTTGGAGACGGGGGTTTCGCTGAAAACCCCCCAGGACCGGCCCCCTCCCAGTTCCTCTCCTCTCAGGCTGGTCCGGTCCACTCCACCCCAGCCCCCTCCCAGTTCCTCTCCTCTCAGGCTGGTCCGGTCCACTCCACCCCAGCCCCCTCCCAGTTCCTCTCCTCTCAGGCTGGTCCGGTCCACTCCACCCCAGCCCCCTCCCTGACAGAGGAGCAGCAGAGACGTATAGAACTGAACAAACAGCTAGCCTTAGAGAGGAGACTGGCCCGCGTGCAGCAACACACAGGTCAGACACTACATCACACTTAGGCGGACATTTTTGACAGTGCCAAAAAAAATCTAAACTACCTGAGATTGAGCATGTTGGTGGGGATCGTCCTGATCAAGGTGCTGGGCACAATCACTAATCTTGATCACATGACTAGTTATTTGGGATGCTAGCTGTGTAGATCAGTGATTGTGCGCTGAGCCTCTCAATCACGCTGACTAACTTCATGTGCTGCATTGTTGACAATCCAATAGATACATTTCCATTTTACCCTTGATGGAGGACAATAAGGTTTTTCCCTCCCTCTCTCAGGTGGCTCCCAGGAGATGACCTCCAGCCAGTCAGCAGACGGACCCTCTACCTCCCAGTCCCAGGAGATGACCTCCAGCCAGTCAGCAGACGGACCCTCTACCTCCCAGTCCCAGGAAATGACCTCCAGCCAGTCAGCAGACGGACCCTCTACCTCCCAGTCCACAGCAGAGACCTCCAGCCAGTCACAGACGGACCCCAGCCCAGTCCAGAGCATGCCTCAGCCACCCAGGACAGACTCTACAACAGGTGACCCCAGCTAGAGACGGACCCTCCTCTCCTCCCGGTGACCTCCAGCCGTCAGCAGACGGACCTCCACAGCTCCGCCCTCTCACACCCCTTCCCAGCCAGCAGAGCAGGACGGAGGATGAGACCGGACCAGGACCCGGCCGAGCAGGCAGACCACCCAGGACAGAGCTCTAAACACGGCTCCCCTGTGAGCTGACCCTCTCCCCTGACCCCGCTGTGAGGAGCAGTAGCACAGCCCTGTTCTGGATTAGCAATGGCGGAGACACAGCGCAGAGATACCTGACAGAATCGCCATGGCTCCCACTGTAAGCATACACACTCACCCAGCACTAAGGGACGCTGTCTTCTAGGACTGCCAACCAATCTGAGGATGTTTTCTCTCTGTTCAAGGACATTTTCAATGCATTTTATACAAATCTAAAAACGTGGTCATGTGTTATCGACCATTTTTCCTCTTTAATAAATGTTGCCAATACGGGCCAAACATCCTGCCGTAGAGTACTGTTTTCTTTCCTTGTTGCTCTTCTGAGCAAAACGCCTCATCACAAGCCATAGAAAACGCCTCATCACCAGCCATAGAAAACGCCTCATCACCAGCCATAGAAAACGCCTCATCACAAGCCATAGAAAACGCCTCATCACAAGCCATAGAAAACGCCTCATCACAAGCCATAGAAAACGCCTCATCACCAGCCATAGAAAACGCCTCATCACAAGCTATAGAAAACGCCTCATCACAAGCCATAGAAAAATAAATTGCCTCATCACAAGCCATAGAAAACGCATCATCACCAGCCATATAAAACACCTCATCACCAGCCTTAGAAAACGCCTCATCACAAGCCATAGAAAAATAAAACCCCATCACCAGCCATAGAAAACACCTCATCACCAGCCATAGAAAAATAAAACACCTCATCATAAGCCATAGAAAAATAAAACGCCTCATCACAAGCCTTAGAAAATGCCTCATCACAAGCCATAGAAAAATTAAACCCCATCACCAGCCATAGAAAATGCCTCAAAATAAGCCATTGAAAAATAAAACCCCATCACAAGCCACAGAAAAATAAAATAAGTTGTACTCTTGATATACTCCCAACCATTTCATGTGGAGAACCATAAGCCAAACACGGCAGCATTCTACTTGTTTTTCTTCTATAATAGATATCAATATGACAGACTGTGATTCACTTGTAGGGGTGTATGGATGTGCAGGGACTGATCAATACAGAAAGGGACTCTTATTGATAGATTCATGTGAAGAGTTTTTTTTTTTGTAATGATGTCCATCCATTTTTCTTAGTTATTTTTCCCCTCCGTGTTGGTTAAGGACAGGAGTGTTTAACGTTCCCTTGCCTTCAAGAGGAGTGCAGACGATGTATTTCCAGGTACAAATCTAGCCTTCGCGTCTACTCTGAGCCGCTCCCGTAGCTCCGTTTTGCTGACACCTATTATATCATTTCAGATCTACAGGAGTCGGGACACAGAGGGGTAGTTTTGGAATTTAGAAAGTGTTGAGACATGGACATTTGAACCCCTGTATGTATCAATGGTGATCCTGAACTGGCAGATTTCAAACATCTAGTCTCTTGTTCAGATCAGTGTCACTTGCAGCAATGTTTTTATAAAAAATCTCTTGTCATAAATTCTAGCATTTTCATGTCCTAAATAAATACAATGTATATGTATTTACCTGAAGCCTTGTGGACATTTGACCTAGCAGCGTGATTAGTTAGATCTTCACCCAGATCAACTTTCAGGATTAATAAACATTTCACTGTTCAACTGTCAAGTTTGGTAATGCACTTTAATTCATTAAAAAAATTATACAATGGAATATTCCACTTGCAAATACTTACTGCCAAGATACCAACTGCCAAAATATTACAAAAATATATTTGGGTTAAAATACAATACCAGGCTGTACAATGGCATACAATCATATCAGTGCCAGATGTCATTATACAGTTCAGTGAAAAAACAATGGCCTGAGAATCAATTTATGTGAAATCTATTCTGTCTCTCAAATACAGCAAATGAGAAAAATGTTTTGTAAAAACTAGCTGCTTGTTCCAGGTGTTGTTTTCTATGGTACCTGTCCTGTTGAGTTAAAACCAGCGCTGCGCCTGCTTGTTCAGGTGTTGCTTCTTCTATGGTACCTCTCCTGGTGAGTTAAAACCAGCGCTGATTCTGCTTGTTCCAGGTGTTGTTTCTATGGTACATGTCCTGTTGAGTTAAAACCAGAGCTGCTGCTTGTTCCAGGTGTGTTTCTATGGTACCTGTCCGTTAAAACCAGCGCTGCTGCTTGTTCCAGGTGTTGATTCTATGGTACCTGTCCTGTTGAGTTAAAACCAGCGCTGCTGCTTGTTCCAGGTGTTGTTTCTATGGTACCTATCCTGTCCAGTTAAAACCAGCGCTGCTGCTTGTTCCAGGTGTTGATTCTATGGTACCTGTCCTGTTGAGTTAAAACCAGCGCTGCTGCTTGTTCCAGTGTGTTTTCTATGGTACCTGTCCTGTTGAGTTAAAACCAGCGCTGCTGCTTGTTCCAGGTGTTGTTTCTATGGTACCTATCCTGTCCAGTTAAAACCAGCGCTACTGCTTGTTCCAGGTGTTGTTTCTATGGTACCTGTCCTGTTGAGTTAAAACCAGCGCTGCTGCTTGTTCCAGGTGTTGTTTCTATGGTACCTGTCCTGTTGAGTTAAAACCAGCGCTGCTGCTTGTTCCAGGTGTTGTTTCTATGGTACCTATCCTGTCCAGTTAAAACCAGCGCTACTGCTTGTTCCAGGTGTTGTTTCTATGGTACCTGTCCTGTTGAGTTAAAACCAGCGCTGCTGCTTGTTCCAGGTGTTGTTTCTATGGTACCTGTCCTGTTGAGTTAAAACCAGCGCTGCTGCTTGTTCCAGGTGTTGTTTCTATGGTACCTGTCCCGTTGAGTTAAAACCAGCGCTGCTGCTTTGTTCCAGGTGTTTGTTTCTATGGTACCTGTCCTGTTGAGTTAAAACCAGCGCTGCTGCTTGTTCCAGGTGTTGTTTCTATGGTACCTGTCCCGTTGAGTTAAAACCAGCGCTGCTGCTTGTTCCAGGTGTTGTTTCTATGGTACCTGTCCTGTTGAGTTAAAACCAGCGCTGCTGCTTGTTCCAGGTGTTGATTCTATGGTACCTGTCCTGTTGAGTTAAAACCAGCGCTGCTGCTTGTTCCAGGTGTTGTTTCTATGGTACCTGTCCCGTTGAGTTAAAACCAGCGCTGCTGCTTGTTCCAGGTGTTGATTCTATGGTACCTGTCCTGTTGAGAGCTGCTCCTGAATCCGTGTGTATTCATGTATACAATAATACATGCATCCATCTCATCTCCCAACTTCAATCCACTGTTCATTTTCTAAATAAGACTAAGGATGTGCCTCCTCCTGCTTCCCCTCCTCCACAATAATCTGACCCAGAATCAGTGTTAAAGTTGTATGTTGTTCTATGTTGATGTATCGCAGGGCTGAGCAGCTGTTCCCAGATCTGTTCCTCCTCCTACTTCTCCACCTCGTCTATGCTGACGTAGCACAAGCCTGAGCAGCTGCTCCCAGATCTCCACCACCTCCTGCTCCTCCACAGGCAGCCAGGTCCAGCAAGGCCATCTCCCTGACCTCCTCCAGGAGAGAGTAGAGGTTGGGGCTTTTACTCTGCCTGAACTCCCTCTCCTCCTTGGACAGTTTGGGGGCCCGGCACCTCTTCTCCTCCGCCTGTTGAGAGGCCTCCTCTGCCTGCCGAACCACCTCCTGGACCAGCTGGGACCGGCCCCTAGCCCCCTGGGGCTGAGGGGGCTGGGCCTGAGTCTCGGGGGCCTGGTGGGGCCTGTTGCTGACCACTTCCAGACGTAGTGTGTTTGAGTGACAACGTGATGGTTGTACTGAGATACGCACCTGAGGGGAAGAGGCGGGACAGAACTATCATTCGCTCATCCGTAAAGTACTGAAGCCTGAAGAGCAGCTGGTTAGTCGAATCAGATGTGTTAAGAGTAGGGCTGGAACAAAACCCTGCATGAAGATAGCCCTCAGGGCCCGTATTCCCAAAGCATCTTAGGGTAGTCCGTCCACCCCCCCCCTCCCCCTTATTCACTATGATTTAGGAGGCAAAACGGATCCTATAACAGCACTCCTAATCTTAGACACTTTGTAAAGTAATTGAGTGCAACTCACAGTGATGTGTTGGAACAAGTTGAAGGTGGAGGTGCCAGCAGCAGTAGTGGTACTGATGTGGTCCAGGTATCTCTGTAGAGAACCAGTCTGCCAGTCACATCCTCCATCCTGTCTCTCACTCACCACCTGGCCCTCTCTGTTCTTCAGGTACACTGCCCCCTTCAGGCCATACCTGGGAACACACACACAGTGGTCAGTGTGTTATGGTATAGCAATAAGGCCAGAGGGGGGTGTGGTATATGGCCAATGTACCACGGCTAAGGGCTGTTCTTAAGCACGACGCAACGTGGAGTACCTGGATACAGCCCTTAGCCGTGGTATATTGGTCATATATCACAAACCCCCGAGGTGCCTTATTGCTATTATAAACTGGTTACCAACATAATTAGTACAGTAAAAATACATGTTTTGTCATACCTGTGGTATACTGTCAGCCAATCAGCATTCAGGGCTCAAACCACCCAGTTTTATGGATATTGTTCAATAAATATTTCAACATAAATCGCTGTGCCGTAATAGTGATTTCTACTGTATGTTTTGGCTCAGTTCAATGCTGTTTTGCTAGCCTGGTCTCAGATCTATTTGTGCTGTCTTGTCAACTCCTATGATCATTTACTGGTTGGCAATGACCATATGAGTTGGCAAGACAGCACCAATATTATGACCTTACTGTGGTATGAAGACCAGTTCTACTGTTATGACCTTCCTGTTATGACCTTACTGTTATGACCTTACTGTGGTATGAAGACCAGCATGCCGTTGGCTCTGATGGTGTAGATGACCGCGTCGGCCACACAGCGCTCATCTGTCTCTGGGTCTTTGTCTCTGAAGTAGAGACACTGGAACAGCTCTGTGGACAACTTCTGGGCGTGCTGCGCTGCCTGGGGGTCAGAGGGCAGAGGTCAGGGGAAGTAGAGACACTGGAACAGCTCTGTGGACACCTTCTGGGCGTGCTGCGCTGCCTGGGGGTCAGAGGAAGTAGAGACACTGGAACAGCTCTGTGGACACCTTCTGGGCGTGCTGCGCTGCCTGGGGGTCAGAGGAAGTAGAGACACTGGAACAGCTCTGTGGACAACTTCTGGGCATGCTGCGCTGCCTGGGAGTCAGAGGGTAGAGGTTAGGGGAAGTAGAGACACTGGAACAGCTCTGTGGACACCTTCTGGGCGTGCTGCGCTGCCTGGGGGTCAGAGGAAGTAGAGACACTGGAACAGCTCTGTGGACACCTTCTGGGCGTGCTGCGCTGCCTGGGGGTCAGAGGGTAGAGGTCAGGGGAAGTAGAGACACTGGAACAGCTCTGTGGACACCTTCTGGGCGTGCTGCGCTGCCTGGGGGTCAGAGGGTAGAGGTCAGGGGAAGTAGAGACACTGGAACAGCTCTGTGGACACCTTCTGGGCGTGCTGTGCTGCCTGGGGGTCAGAGGGTAGAGGTCAGGGGTCAATGTCAGAAGATAACATCCTCACTGGGGATTTTCTACAGTAAAAAGTAAAAGACTCCACACACTGTGCTCTATGCTTCCATGTCATTTATTGAAACAACTTTGACCCTTAGGTCTTCATCACCCCCAAGTCTCCCATTTTGAGATTAATAAAATAGCAGAAGTATGATACAGTACCATCTTCTCTTATATCATCGGATCTTATTTTGGTTTCTAATGCTATTGTGGATGTTTAGTATTGCTAAGATACTGACCCTGTTCTTGTTGTTGATTTGCTGAGCCACCTCCTCCAGCTCTTTGTTACTGGCTAAGACCTTGGCTGGCCCCGCCCCCTTCTCCATGGCGATGGCTGCAGTGAGCAGGCGGTGGACAATCATGTCGGCATAGCGACGGATGGGAGAGGTGAAGTGGGTGTATCGGTCCAGAGCCAGACCTGAAGGAAGGGACACAGAGGTCAACAAATCATCTCTGTCCAGATATAACCTGACCCCCTGGGAGTAGATCTGAAAGAACTGGAGAGGTATTTGCAATATGGTGAAAACTATCGAAAGACAAGGTAGAGCCACTGCCATATTGCTAGTGATAGTCCTGAGGACATTAGTTACCATAGTGATAGTACTGGTCCTGAGGAAATGAGTTACCATAGTGATAGTACTGGTCCTGAGGAAATGAGTTACCATAGTGATATAGTGATAGTACTGGTCCTGAGGAAAATAGTTACCATAGTGATAGTACTGGTCCTGAGGACATTAGTTACCATAGTGACAGTACTGGTCCTGAGGACATTAGTTACCATAGTGATAGTACTGGTCCTGAGGACATTAGTTACCATAGTGATAGTACTGGTCCTGAGGACATTAGTTACCATAGTGATAGTACTGGTCCTGAGGACATTAGTTACCATAGTGACAGTACTGGTCCTGAGGACATTAGTTACCATAGTGACAGTACTGGTCCTGAGGACATTAGTTACCATAGTGATAGTACTGGTCCTGAGGACATTAGTTACCATAGTGACAGTACTGGTCCTGAGGACATTAGTTACCATAGTGATAGTACTGGTCGACAGGGCAGGCTCCGGTAGAGAAGTAGAGAGCGTTAGACATGGCCATGGTAGCCATCACCCTCAGCAACCGGTTCACCAGAGGGTCCCGGGGGTCCACGGCCCGGTCCAGAGAGTCAGCCAGGGCCTTGTTTGACCTGGGACAGGGAGTCAAGGTTATGGGTTGAACTTTACTGCTATTTGTAATTTGATCTAGCCTGTACGTTTGAATTAGTTGTTATTTTGGTTGACTGGTGTGTAGACACAGGATCAAACCCATTTGTCAAATACTTGGGAGTTTGCACTTTTGGGAGTATTCCATTCGTTCCATTGCACAAGACAAAACGACATAAAGTGCAAGTCAATAATTTCACATATTTAATATGATACATGTCTGGACTGTTCCATGTCATGTGTCACTGTTCAAAGAGGAAAATAAATCCATGCATATCGATAGTTCAACGGCTTATAACATAGTTCATAGAAGTGTTATTAACACAGCTTATAACCTGTACCTGGTGTGTATGTATAGTTAAATGGCTGGTTAGTTAGTGACACATAGTAACAGTATACCTGGTGTCTATGGTGAATCCGCGTGCCCGGGCACTGTCCTGTAGCTGGTTGAAGAACTCCTGGCGTGGGGGCGGGTGGTGGCGCAGCAAGGCCTGCTGGGGGAAACTCTCCTGGATCTTACGGGCCACCCAGTGGTTGGCATAGATCATACACTCTGCCACCTGGAAACCCACCCATCTCAATCTCGTTAGCTAGTTTGTGTATTGGCTAGCTCCTGTGGTTTCTACTTCTTAAAATAGTCAATTACAACAGTCAAACATTATAACAGTCAAACATTACAACAGTCTAAATCATAATTGTATGTATGTTGTTGTTTTTTTCAATGTAATTTTTTCTCTCAACCTTTTTGTCACAAGAAAACAGCGAACAGAAATATGAATGAAAACCTCTGTTGATCCAATGTTTTGTTACCCACCGTCTCATGGACCTCCAGCGGCTGTCTGGGCACCAGGGCTGTGATGTTCTTGTCCTCATCCAGCTGCGCCCTCACCTCTACCCCCTCCAGCTCCAACGCTCCCCCCCTGTCCCTCTGTCCGCGCAGGCGTCTGGTGGACAGATATATGGTGCATTTAGGTATGTGTTATCTAATCATTCTTTAACAATGATTAAACAGAAACCACTAGTACACTAGAAAAACTAGTACCCACCTGGCGACGTGGGTGAGGATCTCCAGGGCCTGGGTGAGCTGGGCCAGCTTGGCATCCCTCTCCCCAGGGGGTAGCTGGGCTATATAATAATAATAACAATAATAATAATAATAATAATAATAATAATAATAATATTATTATATTTATAGAATAAGAAAATAACAATAAGAAAATAACTTTATTGACTACATCATGTAGAAATCACCTTGGCTTCACAATAAGATGAATGAAACCAGAATAAAAAAAACATATGTATTCAAAATGGAATGCTATTCCCTCTATAGTACACTACTTTTGGACAGCCTGGAGAAGAGTAGTGCACTATGAAGGAAATAGGGTGCCGTTTGGGACACATCTAACAGTATTAAAACATGATCGGTACCTAGTTCTGGGACCTCAGCCTCCTCTCCATTGAGCAGAGCCTGGGCCAGTTCATAGTAAAGCTGGTAGGAGGAGCGGATTAGTGTGCGACCGTACCACACCTTGTTCACCGCCAGAGTCTGGGCATCCAAGTCCCACATTACGCTCACGGCATACCTGGACACACGGACACGCGCAGACGGACACACAGTGAGCTATTAATGAGGCGAGGACATACAGCATCAGTCTACCGGAGAGTTCCGACCAACGTTACAAGAGTGACCTATGAGTGAATTAATAATCCTGATAAACTTCACTGAGGTTTACAGAGCAGAGGTCAGAGGTCAGAGGTCAGTGTGATGTAGTGTTGTAGTGTTGAGCTCTCACCTGTCCACCCCTCCCAGCAGAGGTCAGAGGTCAGTGTGATGTAGTGTTGTAGTGTTGAGCTCTCACCTGTCCACCCCTCCCAGCAGAGAGCAGAGGTCAGTGTGATGTAGTGTTGTAGTGTTGAGCTCTCACCTGTCCACCCCTCCCAGCAGAGGTCAGAGGTCAGTGTGATGTAGTGTTGTAGTGTTGATCTCTCACCTGTCCACCCCTCCCAGCAGAGGTCAGAGGTCAGTGTGATGTAGTGTTGAGCTCTCACCTGTCCACCCCTCCCAGCAGAGGTCAGAGGTCAGTGTGATGTAGTGTTGAGCTCTCACCTGTCCACCCCTCCCAGCAGAGAGCAGAGGTCAGCACTGAGGACGGCAGGCAGCATGTCATACCTCCGGTCGGCCAGGTAGTAGGTGGTGGCCCTGAGAACATGATCGGAGAAAGAGTTACTGGAGCTGGCCCAGTCACCAGCAGGGGGCGACTAACCTCACAACGTCTGACCATCCTGACTGTCAGACTGCTGGAGGGAGATGGAATAGCAGTTGACTTAGGGAAAGTGGGTATTCCAGGGTAACTTTACGGGAGGCCCTGGCACATGCCTCACGTACACGGAAACGCATTCACTCCCTCCCTCTCCCTCTCACCTAGCGCGGGCCTCCAGGTCCGTCAGCGACCCCTCTTTAACAAAGTGTGTGACGTCAGCGATGTGGACGCCCAGCTCTAACCTCTGACCCCCCCCCGGGGCGGGGGGGAGGCTGCGTACGGACAGGGTGTCGTCTACATCCTCACAGCCCCGAGGGTCGATGCTGAAAACCAGGTGGGTTCGTCTCAGGTCCCGTCTGGTAATCACCTCAGCAGGGTCCACTGACCAGGGGCTCTCAGGGGAGGACACTGGCATCTCGCCAAGCTAGATACACACAAACAGATGTGCAGTGACGCATACGTCCACATACAGAGACATGCAGACACACACACACACCAATAACTATGTATAAAAATAAAATAAAAAGCCACATTTCTGCAGAAGTACTCCACTGCATCGACAGGGTCTCCCAGCAGGAGACGTTTATGGAGGTAAGCACAACTATTTACATCTTAGTGCAAAGGCTGACTTGACTATAACCTACCTGGATACAGTTCTCTATGAGGATGGTGGATTATACTATAACCTACCTGGATACAGTTCTCTATGAGGATGGTGGATTATACTATAACCTACCTGGATACAGTTCTCTATGAGGATGGTGGATTATACTATAACCTACCTGGATACAGTTCTCTATGAGGATGGTGGATTATACTAGAACCTACCTGCGCCTCAGAGAAAGGAGGTACGTGGATACAGTTCTCTATGAGGATGGTTTGGACCTCAGTCTCCAGCTCCCCAGCCCGGCCCAGCACCCTGACACTGTGTCCGTTCGGGTAGAGGGAGGTGCTGTCCCACGAGTCCAGACGCACTATCACACGGTGATCCTGGAGAGACGGGGGGAGGTGACAGGGTTCATGGACGATAGTCACAAGGACTATGTCCTTTTCACAGTCAGAGACTTAAAGCAAGCTGACATGATTCAACGACTCTACTAATCATCAAGTCCTTGGTTAGTTTAATGAAGTGTGCTTCCTGATTCAATTACTCTACTAATCATCAAGTCCTTGGTTAGTTTAATGAAGTGTGCTTCCTGATTCAATTACTCTACTAATCATCAAGTCCTTGGTTAGTTTAATGAAGTGTGCTTCCTGATTAAATTACTCTACTAATCATCAAGTCCTTGGTTAGTTTAATGAAGTGTGCTTCCTGATTCAATTACTCTACTAATCATCAAGTCCTTGGTTAGTTTAATGAAGTGTGCTTCCTGATTCAATTACTCTACTAATCATCAAGTCCTTGGTTAGTTTAATTAAGTGTGCTCATGCTGATGTTTAAGCTCTCTCTCCATGTCCAAACACTGATCTGACCTGCAGTTTGTCAGCCTGTTGAGTGCTGATGCGGATCTTGGGGATGCGTTGGTCCCAGGGCGTGGCCAGGATACGCTGGGAGTTCCTGCTCTGTGATTGGGTCTCCTCCTTGGGGGGAAAGGTCACGACATAGTCCCTCCAGTTCCTCTGAAGGATCCCCACCACACGACCTGGAGGGAGGGGGTGAGAGAGGTAAGGAGGAAGGGAGGGAAGGAAGTTGATAGAGGGAGAAGAGAGAGAGGGAGAAGTAGGGAGAAGAGGGATAAGGAGGGAGAAAGAGAGAGAGAGAGAGAGAGAGAGAGAGAGAGAGAGAGAGAGAGAGAGAGAGAGAGAGAGAGAGAGAGAGAGAGAGAGAGAGAGAGAGGGGGAGTAAATGATACATGTTACATTTATGTTATCCTAGTCTTTATTCTGTATGTACTGTCTAGTATCTCATCCATTCAGTCTAGGAAAGGCAGAGGTGAGTAATTGAGACAGGAATTCAGACAGTAGGTCAGTAGTGTGTGTGTACCTGTGAACATGGGTTGGCTCTGCGTCTCGTCTCCCTTCTCCTCCCCCTGTCCCTCCGTCAGGGCCGTGGTTCTCCCTCTCCACTCCCCCTTCGGCAACAGCTCCACGGCAACCATATCGCCATGCACCGCCCGGTTACGATTCTTCCCCCCACACACCAGCACATCACTGTTCAGCTCTGGGAGAGGATATACAGTGTGCTCCAACAGTATTGGGACAGTGACACATGTTTGGTTGTTTTGGCTCTGTACTCCAGCACTTTGGATTTGAAATTATACAATGATTATGAGGTTAACGTGCAGACTGGCAGCTTTAATTTGAGGGGATTTTCATCCATATATTTTTGTACACAGTCCACCAAAAGTATTGGGACAAATGCACTTATGTGTATTAAAGTAGTCAGATGTTCAGTATTTGGTCCCATATTCTTAGCACTCAATGACTACATCAAGCTTGTGACTCTACAATCTTGTTGGATGCATTTGCTGTTTGTTTTGGTTGTGTTTCAGATTATTTTGTGCCCAATAGGAATGAATGGTAAATAATGTACTGTGTCATTTTGGAGTCACTTTTACTGTCAATATGAATAGAATATGTTTCTAAACACTTCTACATTAATGTGGATCCTACCATGATTGCGGATAATCCTGAATGAATTGTGAATAATGATGAGTGAGAAAGTTACAGACGCACAAATATCATACCCCCAAGAAAGAAATGCTAATCTTTCACTATTACAATAACGGGATATTAGCATTTTTTTTTTGGGGGGGGGGGGGGGGGTAACTTTGTGCGTCTGTAACTTTCTCACTCATCCTTACTCATGTAGGATTATCTGTAATCATGGACTTTTTTAGAAAGTAGGTCTTGCTGTGGAACACACCTGAGTTCTTGTTGGAAGAGCCCTCAAAGCGGACGAAGGCTTCATGCTGGGCCCTGTGCTTGTTCACATTCAGAGTGCCCTGGAATGGAAGGACAGAGAGACAGAAGACTTAGTGCCCTGGAATGGAAGGACAGAGAGACAGAAGACTTAGTGCCCTGGAATGGAAGGACAGAGAGACAGAAGACTTAGTGCCCTGGAATGGAAGGACAGAGAGACAGAAGACTTAGTGCCCTGGAATGGAAGGACAGAGAGACAGAAGACTTAGTGCCCTGGAATGGAAGGACAGAGAGACAGAAGACTTAGTGCCCTGGAATGGAAGGACAGAGAGACAGAAGACTTAGTGCCCTGGAATGGAAGGACAGAGAGACAGAAGACTTAGTGCCCTGGAATGGAAGGACAGAGAGACAGAAGACTTAGTGCCCTGGAATGGAAGGACAGAGAGACAGAAGACTTAGTGCCCTGGAATGGAAGGACAGAGAGACAGAAGACTTAGTGCCCTGGAATGGAAGGACAGAGAGACAGAAGACTTAGTGCCCTGGAATGGAAGGACAGAGAGACAGAAGACTTAGTGCCCTGGAATGGAAGGACAGAGAGACAGAAGACTTAGTGCCCTGGAATGGAAGGACAGAGAGACAGAAGACTTAGTGGCCTGGAATGGAAGGACAGAGAGGCAGAAGACTTAGTGCCCTGTAAAGGAAGGGAGGGACAGAGAGACAGAAGACTTAGTGCCCTGGAATGGAAGGACAGAGAGACAGAAGACTTAGTGCCCTGGAATGGAAGGACAGAGAGACAGAAGACTTAGTGCCCTGGAATAGAAGGACAGAGAGACAGAATACTTAGTGCCCTGGAATGGAAGGACAGAGAGACAGAAGACTTAGTGCCCTGGAATGGAAGGACAGAGAGACAGAATACTTAGTGCCCTGGAATGGAAGGACAGAGAGACAGAATACTTAGTGCCCTGGAATGGAAGGACAGAGAGACAGAAGACTTAGTGCCCTGGAATGGAAGGACAGAGAGACAGAAGACTTAGTGCCCTGGAATGGAAGGACAGAGAGACAGAAGACTTAGTGCCCTGGAATGGAAGGACAGAGAGACAGAAGACTTAGTGCCCTGGAATAGAAGGACAGAGAGACAGAAGAAGAAGAAAACACTTTACTGTCGATTGTCTTTTTTTAAAGTCATTTAGCAGACGCACATATCCAGAGTGACTTACAGCAGCGATATGGGTTAAGTGCCTTGCTCAAGGGCACATCGACAGATTTAACCTAGTCAGCTCTACGATTCAAACCAGCAACCTTTCAGTTACTGGCCTAACCGCTTAACCGTTAGGTTACCACCCAGCCCACATTGGACCCAGCCCACGGTGACCTTCTCCCTTACCTCACATCGCTCATCAACTCATCCTTGACCGCTGGCTATGTCCCTTCCGTCTTCAAGAGAGCGAGAGTTGCACCCCTTCTCAAAAAACCTACACTCGATCCCTCCGATGTCAACAACTACAGACCAGTATCCCTTCTTTCTTTTCTCTCCAAAACTCTTGAGCGTGCCGTCTTTAGCCAACTCTCTTGCTATCGCTCTCAGAATTACCTTCTTGATCCAAACCAGTCAGGTTTCAAGACTGGTCATTCAACTGAGACTGCTCTTCTCTGTGTCACGGAGGCTCTCCGCACTGCTAAAGCTAACTCTCTCTCCTCTGCTCTTGTCCTTCTAGACCTGTCTGCTGCCTTTGATACTGTGAACCATCAGATCCTCCTCTCCACCCTCTCCGAGCTGGGCATCTCCGGCGCGGCTCACTCTTGGATTGCGTCCTACCTGACCGGTCGCTCCTACCAAGTGGCGTGGCGAGAATCTCTCTCCGCACCACGTGCTCTCACCACTGGTGTCCCCCAGGGCTCAGTTATAGGCCCTCTCCTATTCTCGCCATACACCAAGTCACTTGGCTCTGTCATATCCTCACATGGCCTCTCCTATCATTGCTACGCAGACGACACAATAATTATTCTCCTTTCCCCCTTCTGATAACCAGGTGGCGAATCGCATCTCTGCATGTCTGGCAGACATATCAGTGTGGATGACGGATCACCACCTCAGCTGAACCTCGGCAAGACGGAGTTGCTCTTCCTCCCGGGGAAGGACTGCCCGTTCCATGATCTCGCCATCACGGTTGACAACTCCGTTGTGTCCTCCTCCCAGAGTGCGAAGAACCTTGGCGTGACCCTGGACAACACCCTGTCGTTCTCCGCTAACATCAAGGCGGTGACCCGATCCTGTAGGTTCATGCTCTACAACATTCGGAGAGTACGACCCTGCCTTACACAGGAAGCGGCACAGGTCCTAATCCAGGCACTTGTCATCTCCCGTCTGGATTACTGCAACTCGCTGTTGGCTGGGCTCCCTGCCTGTGCCATTAAACCCCTACAACTCATCCAGAATGCCGCAGCCCGTCTGGTGTTCAACCTTCCCAAGTTCTCTCACGTCACCACGCTCCTCCGCACACTCCACTGGCTTCCAGTTGAAGCTCGCATCTGCTACAAGACCATGGTGCTTGCCTACGGAGCTGTGAGGGGAACGGCACCTCCGTACCTTCAGGCTCTCATCAGTCCCTACAACCAAACGAGGGCATTGCGTTCATCCACCTCTGGCCTGCTGGCCCCCCTACCTCTGCGGAAGCACAGTTCCCGCTCAGCCCAGTCAAAACTGTTCGCTGCTCTGGCACCCCAATGGTGGAACAAGCTCCCTCACGACGCCAGGACAGTGGAGTCACTCACCACCTTCCGGAGACACTTGAAACCCCACCTCTTTAAGGAATACCTGGGATAGGATAAAGTAATCATTCTACCCCCACACCAAAGAAAAAAAATAAAAAAATAAAAACATATTGTAAAGTGGTTATCCCACTGGCTATAAGGTGAATGCACCAATTTGTAAGTCGTTCTGGATAAGAGCGTCTGCTAAATGACGTAAATGTAAAAATTGGAGGGACATTTTCAGATCACAGAAATGTGTATTTTTGGCTTTTGGTGTTTTTGGTGTTCGCTTTTCTCCAGGGTTGTTGTGTTTGTAGGCCACAAAATGGCTGTCGAGGAGGACCTTTTCTCCAGGGTTGTTGTGTTTGTAGGCCACAAAATGGCTGTCGAGGAGGACCTTTTCTCCAGGGTTGTTGTGTTTGTAGGCCACAAAATGGCTGTCGAGGAGGACCTTCACATCTGAGTGTAGTTTGAAGTAAAGAGGAGGACCTTCACATCTGAGTGTAGTTTTAAGTAAAGAGGAGGACCTTCACATCTGAGTGTAGTTTGAAGTAAAGAGGAGGACCTTCACATCTGAGTGTAGTTTGAAGTAAAAAGGAGGACCTTCACATCTGAGTGTAGTTTGAAGTAAACATGAGGACCTTCACATCTGAGTGTAGTTTGAAGTAAAGAGGACCTTCACATCTGAGTGTAGTTTGAAGTAAAGAGGAGGACCTTCACATCTGAGTGTAGTTTGAAGTAAAGAGGAGGACCTTCACATCTGAGTGTAGTTTGAAGTAAAGAGGAGGACTTTCACATCTGAGTGTAGTTTGAAGTAAAGAGGAGGACCTTCACATCTGAGTGTAGTTTGAAGTAAAGAGGAGGACCTTCACATCTGAGTGTAGTTTGAAGTAAACATGAGGACCTTCACATCTGAGTGTAGTTTTAAGTAAAAAAGGAGGACCTTCACATCTGAGTGTAGTTTGAAGTAAAGAGGAGGACCTTCACATCTGAGTGTAGTTTGAAGTAAAGCTCCACATGTCCAACAGTCTGCTCTTCATTCCTTTATATGCTCCACTGAGGAGACATGTTAAACTGATCAGGTCGGTGGCCACTGCGCTTCCGCCACAAACACACACACATACTTGTAAACACCCACATCCGCACATAAAACACGCACAAAAACACACACACATACATAGTGTCAACTGTCACACACCGCTGTTCAAACACACACATGCCTGTATGTATCGGCCAGACTTAATGCCAGCCTCCAGGACCTCGGCAGGCAGGTGTTCAGTGTACTCTCTCTCCGTCCCCTCGCTCCCTCTCTCCCGCAGGGACTGAGCGATGGAGCAGTACAGCTCCTGGGCAGCCTGCAGCTCCGGCCAGAACGTCTGCAGGTACTCCTGAACATAGAAATAGAATGTCATTATGCCATCATTGACTTGAATGGGCAGGCCCCGTTCTACTCATTCTAGTTCTGTGCTCCTGAAGACCAAGAGACATGCACAAGGTAATGATACACTGACTGATAATATAAGCCACTTAGGATATGCTTTTCTCCTATGTTTAGTATGTGTAGGCTATGTGCTCCCTGAAGGAATTGAACTCACAACCTTGGAGTTGTATACCTAAAGACTACACTCTTACCAACTGAGCCACACAGGACCGATAACATGGTAAACACTATACCAACTGAGCTACACAGGACCGATAACATGGTAAACGCTATACCAACTGAGCCACACAGGACCGATAACATGGTAAACACTATACCAACTGAGCCACACAGGACCGATAACATGGTAAACACTATACCAACTGAGCCACACAGGACCGATAACATGGTAAACGCTATACCAACTGAGTCACACAGGACCGATAACATGGTAAACACTATACCAACTGAGCCACACAGGACCGATAACATGGTAAACACTATACCAACTGAGCCACACAGGACCGATAACATGGTAAACACTATACCAACTGAGCCACACAGGACCGATAACATGGTAAACGCTATACCAACTGAGCCACACAGGACCGATAACATGGTAAACGCTATACCAACTGAGCCACACAGGACCGATAACATGGTAAACACTATACCAACTGAGCCACACAGGACCGATAACATGGTAAACACTATACCAACTGAGCCACACAGGACCGATAACATGGTAAACGCTATACCAACTGAGTCACACAGGACCGATAACATGGTAAACGCTATACCAACTGAGCCACACAGGACCGATAACATGGTAAACACTATACCAACTGAGCCACACAGGACCGATAACATGGTAAACACTATACCAACTGAGCCACACAGGACCGATAACATGGTAAACACTATACCAACTGAGCCACACAGGACCGATAACATGGTAAACACTATACCAACTGAGCCACACAGGACCGATAACATGGTAAACACTATACCAACTGAGCCACACAGGACCGATAACATGGTAAACACTATACCAACTGAGTCACACAGGACCGATAACATGGTAAACACTATACCAACTGAGTCACACAGGACCGATAACATGGTAAACAATATACCAACTGAGCCACACAGGACCGATAACATGGTAAACGCTATACCAACTGAGCCACACAGGACCGATAACATGGTAAACGCTATACCAACTGAGCCACACAGGACCGATAACATGGTAAACACTATACCAACTGAGTCACACAGGACTGATAACATGGTAAACACTATACCAACTGAGTCACACAGGACCGATAACATGGTAAACACTATACCAACTGAGCCACACAGGACCGATAACATGGTAAACGCTATACCAACTGAGCCACACAGGACCGATAACATGGTAAACACTATACCAACTGAGTCACACAGGACCGATAACATGGTAAACACTATACCAACTGAGTCACACAGGACCGATAACATGGTAAACACTATACCAACTGAGCCACACAGGACCGATAACATGGTAAACGCTATACCAACTGAGCCACACAGGACCGATAACATGGTAAACGCTATACCAACTGAGCCACACAGGACCGATAACATGGTAAACACTATACCAACTGAGCCACACAGGACCGATAACATGGTAAACACTATACCAACTGAGTCACACAGGACCGATAACATGGTAAACACTATACCAACTGAGCCACACAGGACCGATAACATGGTAAACGCTATACCAACTGAGTCACACAGGACCGATAACATGGTAAACACTATACCAACTGAGTCACACAGGACCGATAACATGGTAAACACTATACCAACTGAGCCACACAGGACCGATAACATGGTAAACGCTATACCAACTGAGCCACACAGGACCGATAACATGGTAAACGCTATACCAACTGAGCCACACAGGACCGATAACATGGTAAACGCTATACCAACTGAGCCACACAGGACTGATAACATGGTAAACGCTATACCAACTGAGCCACACAGGACCGATAACATGGTCAACACTATACCAACTGAGCCACACAGGACCGATAACATGGTAAACACTATACCAATTGAGCCACACAGGACCGATAACATGGTAAACACTATACCAACTGAGCCACACAGGACCGATAACATGGTAAACACTATACCAACTGAGCCACACAGGACCGATAACATGGTAAACACTATACCAACTGAGTCACACAGGACCGATAACATGGTAAACACTATACCAACTGAGTCACACAGGACCGATAACATGGTAAACACTATACCAAACTGATCCACACAGGACCGATAACATGGTAAACACTATACCAACTGAGTCACACAGGACCGATAACATGGTAAACACTATACCAACTGAGCCACACAGGACCGATAACATGGTAAAACACTATACCAACTGAGCCACACAGGACCGATAACATGGTAAACGCTATACCAACTGAGCCACACAGGACCGATAACATGGTAAACACTATACCAACTGAGTCACACAGGACCGATAACATGGTAAACACTATACCAACTGAGTCACACAGGACCGATAACATGGTAAACGCTATACCAACTGAGCCACACAGGACCGATAACATGGTAAACACTATACCAACTGAGTCACACAGGACCGATAACATGGTAAACACTATACCAACTGAGCCACACAGGACCGATAACATGGTAAACACTATACCAACTGAGCCACACAGGACCGATAACATGGTAAACACTATACCAACTGAGCCACACAGGACCGATAACATGGTAAACACTATACCAACTGAGCCACACAGGACCGATAACATGGTAAACGCTATACCAACTGAGCCACACAGGACCGATAACATGGTAAACACTATACCAACTGAGCCACACAGGACCGATAACATGGTAAACACTATACCAACTGAGCCACACAGGACCGATAACATGGTAAACACTATACCAACTGAGCCACACAGGACCGATAACATGGTAAACACTATACCAACTGAGCCACACAGGACCGATAACATGGTAAACGCTATACCAACTGAGCCACACAGGACCGATAACATGGTAAACACTATACAACTGAGTCACACAGGACCGATAACATGGTCAACACTATACCAACTGAGTCACACAGGACCGATAACATGGTAAACACTATACCAACTGAAGCCACACAGGACCGATAACATGGTAAACACTATACCAACTGAGCCACACAGGGACCGATAACATGGTAAACACTATACCAACTGAGCCACACAGGACCGATAACATGGTAAACGCTATACCAACTGAGCCACACAGGACCGATAACATGGTAAACGCTATACCAACTGAGCCACACAGGACCGATAACATGGTAAACACTATACCAACTGAGCCACACAGGACCGATAACATGGTAAACACTATACCAACTGAGCCACACAGGACCGATAACATGGTAAACGCTATACCAAACTGAGTCACACAGACCGATAACATGGTAAACACTATACCAACTGAGCCACACAGGACCGATAACATGGTAAACACTATACCAACTGAGCCACACAGGACCGATAACATGGTAAACACTATACCAACTGAGCCACACAGGACCGATAACATGGTAAACGCTATACCAACTGAGTCACACAGGACCGATAACATGGTAAACAACTATACCAACTGAGTCACACAGGACCGATAACATGGTAAACACTATACCAACTGAGCCACACAGGGACCGATCACAGTAAACACGTATACCAACTGAGCCCACAGGACCGATAACATGGTAAACACTATACCAACTGAGCACACAGGACCGATAACATGGTAAACACTATACCAACTGAGTCACACAGGACCGATAACATGGTAAACGCTATACCAACTGAGCCACACAGGACCGATAAACATGGTAAACACTATACCAACTGAGCCACACAGGACCGATAACATGGTAAACACTATACCAACTGAGCCACACAGGACCGATAACATGGTAAACACTATACCAACTGAGCCACACAGGACCGATAACATGGTAAACGCTATCCCAACTGAGCCACACAGGACCGATAACATGGTAAACACTATACCAACTGAGCCACACAGGACCGATAACATGGTAAACACTATACCAACTGAGCCACACAGGACCGATAACATGGTAAACGCTTATACCAACTGAGCCACACAGGACCGATAACATGGTAAACACTATACCAACTGAGCCACACAGGACCGATAACATGGTAAACACTATACCAACTGAGCCACACAGGACCGATAACATGGTAAACACTATACCAACTGAGCCACACAGGACCGATAACATGGTAAACGCTATACCAACTGAGTCACACAGGACCGATAACATGGTAAACACTATACCAACTGAGCCACACAGGACCGATAACATGGTAAACACTATACCAACTGAGCCACACAGGACCGATAACATGGTAAAACACTATACCAACTGAGTCACACAGGACCGATAACATGGTAAACGCTATACCAACTGAGTCACACAGGACCGATAACATGGTAAACACTATACCAACTGAGTCACACAGGACCGATAACATGGTAAACACTATACCAACTGAGCCACACAGGACCGATAACATGGTAAACGCTATACCAACTGAGCCACACAGGACCGATAACATGGTAAACACTATACCAACTGAGCCACACAGGACCGATAACATGGTAAACGCTATACCAACTGAGCCACACAGGACCGATAACATGGTAAACACTATACCAACTGAATGAAAACGGATCTGAACCCGACCCTGCTTCTTGTATGGGTCCTTTTGACTGATGCTCCCTGAGGTTCTCACTAGCCACGTATTCACCTATGGAGGAGTATACGGCAGGGTTCTCACTAGCCACGTATTCACCTATGGAGGAGTATACGGCAGGGTTCTCACTAGCCACGTATTCACCTATGGAGGAGTATACGGCAGGGTTCTCACTAGCCACGTATTCACCTATGGAGGGAGTATACGGCAGGGTTCTCACTAGCCACGTATTCACCTATGGAGGAGGAGTATACGGCAGGGTTCTCACTAGCCACGTATTCACCTATGGAGGAGTATACGGCAGGGTTCTCACTAGCCACGTATTCACCTATGGAGGAGTATACGGCAGGGTTCTCACTAGCCACGTATTCACCTATGGAGGAGTATACGGCAGGGTTCTCACTAGCCACGTATTCACCTATGGAGGAGTATACGGCAGGGTTCTCACTAGCCACGTATTCACCTATGGAGGAGTATACGGCAGGGTTCTCACTAGCCACGTATTCACCTATGGAGGAGTATACGGCAGGGTTCTCACTAGCCACGTATTCACCTATGGAGGAGTATACGGCAGGGTTCTCACTAGCCACGTATTCACCTATGGAGGAGTATACGGCAGGGTTCTCACTAGCCACGTATTCACCTATGGAGGAGTATACAGTATGCTATGGGTTCATCTTTAGTCATGTTAGCACCATTAAAGGGCAATGGGACAGAACAGGCATTGGGTACCTGGAGAGATCATATTGCTGAATCTACCTTTAACATGGTCTGGACTTTGTGTATAATGTCATATTGCTGAGTGCACCTTTAACCTAATGAGGCTGTGTGTATTATAGTGTACCTGTGTAGACAGGATGTAGACACCACAGTTGAGGCTGCTGTGTATTATAGTGTACCTGTGTAGACAGGATGTAGACACCACAGTTGAGGCTGTGTGTATTATAGTGTACCTGTGTAGACAGGATGTAGACACCACAGTTAAGGCTGTGTGTATTATAGTGTACCTGTGTAGACAGGATGTAGACACCACAGTTGAGGCTGTGTGTATTATAGTGTACCTGTGTAGACAGGATGTAGACACCACAGTTGAGGCTGTGTGTATTATAGTGTACCTGTGTAGACAGGATGTAGACACCACAGTTGAGGCTGCTGTACTCTGCCACAGCGGTCTGGTCTTCAGTGATCATCACTACTGGCTTCATACCTGCCAGGTGGTCATGGTACCACACTGCAGCATGGTACACACACCTAGAGGGGGGAGACAAGGACACACCTGCATCAGCATACACACACAGATACACAGAGTCATGCCTAAACACACACACACACACACAATTCCAATGTACGTATTATGTACCTACAAATGGCAACAAACTTGACTTGGAGGACGAGGAGGAAGAGGAGGAGGAGGAAAGGAGGAGGAGGAGGAAGAGGAGGGGGCAAGGAGGAGGAGGAGGAGGAGGAGGAGGGGGCAAGGAGGAGGAGATTAAGGCGAGGAGGAGAAGGAGGAGGAGGAGGAGGAGGAGGCAGAAGGCGGAGGAGGAGGAGGCAGAAGATGGAGGAGGAGGAGGAGGAGGAGGAGGAGGAGGAGGAGGAAGAAGGCGGAGGAGGAGGAGGCAGAAGGCGGAGGAGGAGGAGGCAGAAGGCAGAAGGCGGAGGAGGAGGATGAGGAGGAGGCAGAAGGTGGAGGAGGAGGTGTAGGAGGAGGATGAAAGCCACTCACCTGGTCTGCCATTTGTCCTGCGGCTCTCCCTTTTCTCTGGGGCAGTAGGAATACTCCTGGAACTCGTTGGCAAACAGGATACAGTCATGACGGGGGTCCTTCAGCAAGCTGCGCAGCCGATTGTACTGCCTGATACAAACAATTCATTTCTACTCAAAGTGCATCGTTATGCTGATATAAAGTATGATAAAACAAATACCTTAAAATGGTAGACCTTAAATAAACAACGTAAAAGTTAAAAAGATAACAAGAAATAGCGAAGGCAACTCATGAAGTATGGCCCTAGATTAGTCTAATAACCTTGTAGCCTACAGTATGTAGTCTAATAACCTTGTAACCTACAGTATGTAGTCTAATAACCTTGTAACCTACAGTATGTAGTCTAATAACCTTGTAGCCTACAGTATGTAGTCTAATAACCTTGTAGTCTAATAACCTTGTAATCTACAGTATGTAGTCTAATAACCTTGTAACCTACAGTATGTAGTCTAATAACCTTGTAGCCTACAGTATGTAGTCTAATAACCTTGTAACCTACAGTATGTAGTCTAATAACCTTGTAACCTACAGTATGTAGTCTAATAACCTTGTAACCTACAGTATGTAGTCTAATAACCTTGTAACCTACAGTATGTAGTCTAATAACCTTGTAACCTACAGTATGTAGTCTAATAACCTTGTAACCTACAGTATGTAGTCTAATAACCTTGTAGCCTACAGTATGTGATAACCTAACTCAATACAAAGCTTCCTACCAACTTGAAAGAGTGTGTAACAGGATAGTGTCAGTCATATAACAGAGTCTCCCTGACTCAGCGGTTCATCCTGGGGTCCCCTGTGTGTTGTAGTGAATAGAGCTCTGCAATTACCAACTACACAGCATGACATCAGCACACCTTAGTTACACACAAACACGCATGCATGCGCACGCTCGCAACGCATACACACGCATACCTTGTAGCGGCTATATACGCACACACATAAGCTAAGTAGTCTGAAAAGTGAAGCCTCATCACATTAACGATGCAACAGATTTATAAAATGGAAGCGAACAGAACCAAATGAGACCAGGACGAGGCTGCTGAAGGGCCTGGTGGGACTGTTATTTACACTGGTCATCAACTTTGTCAAGAACAACACCAATGTATCCGTATGTATAATGTTAGAATGGTTGCGTAACACACAGTATTGGCTACATTATTCATAGACAGGCTAGATCCTGTTTAGCTTGATCAGCACAGCTGTGGTATAACGAGGTTGTTTTTACCCAACCCTCAAAAAGGTGGATTTGTATTAAAAGGTAATATGGAGGAAGTTGCCTTATTTGTCCTCTAAGTCTCACTCAATCACCTCTAACTAGGACCTGAGCCCACGCTACACATTGTCTCAGAGATTTCTTGGCACGGCCATGGCTGAGTGTAGAACTAAAGTGCTGTCTCTGAGGCGGTGCTGAGGATGTGGCCATTGGGCCATTTAGGTCTAATACACCTGTGTCTTCGACTATGGTAGATATGTCATAGGAGAGCTGTAGGTTTACTCTGCCCTACTAAGCTATTGTCATTTCTTTGACATGAAATACATGCTTTATCATGTGGACAAATATCCTGCCTCCATTGTGTTGTGTTATGGAGAAAATGGGGGTTCATGTTTGCAGTAACTGCAAAAAAAAGTTACAGTGAAACCAAGGTAAAAGGCAGCAGCTGGCATCACTCACGTCAGTTCCGGCATTTTCCCCAGGTTTCACTGAGCTTTGGGCTGCGGTGTCCATGCTAAACCTGGGTTTTATTTATTGTTCTTCGCTGATACAAGTATCAAACTATTTGTGCTAAAAGTTTGTGTTATAAAACAATCATCCTAGAAACGTATTCCAGTGGATGTACACAGCAAGAAGGCAGGAACTACCGTCTAGGGTCAAAGGTCATGTCAGAAGTCAGGGCCAATATGAATAAAAAATTACCTCATAGTAAGACACAGATAACCACATTTCCAATGACCTGCCTACATTTCATTTTTTTTTAAGCTTTGAAGTCATTTTTCTCAGTTTCACTCTATGAGCAGTTACTGCTCTTTTGCTTGGTAGGGCAGTACTGTTCTGTATCCATGACATAGTCATAGGAGAGATCTACTGTTCTGTACCCATGACATAGTCACAGGAGAGATCTACTGTTCTGTACACATGACATAGTCATAGGAGAGATCTACTGTTCTGTACCCATGAAATAGTCACAGGAGAGATCTACTGTTCTGTACCCATGACATAGTCATAGGAGAGATCTACTGTTCTGTACCCATGACATAGTCATAGGAGAGGTGTAGGACTGTTCTGTACCCATGACATAGTCATAGGAGAGGTCTACTGTAATTATCTCAATGGAGTGGTGTACGCCTAGCTACTCAACCTGTGTTACCGTAATTATCTCAATGGAGTGGTGTAGGCCTAGCTACTCAACCTGTGTTACCGTAATTATCTCAATGGAGTGGTGTAGGCCTAGCTACACAACCTGTGTTACCGTAATTATCTCATTGGAGTGGTGTAGGCCTAGCTACTCAAACTGTGTTACCGTAATTATCTCATTGGAGTGGTGTAGGCCTAGCTACTCAACCTGTGTTACCGTAATTATCTCAATTGAGTGGTGTAGGCCTAGCTACTCAACCTGTGTTACCGTAATTATCTCAATGGAGTGGTGTAGGCCTAGCTACTCAACCTGTGTTACCGTAATTATCTCAATGGAGTGGTGTAGGCCTAGCTACTCAACCTGTGTTACCGTAATTATCTCAATGGAGTGGTGTAGGCCTAGCTACTCAAACTGTGTTACCGTAATTATCTAATTGGAGGGGTGTAGGCATAGCTACTCAAACTGTGTTACCGTAATTATCTAATTGGCGTGGTGTAGGCCTAGCTACTCAAACTGTGTTACCGTAATTATCTAATTGGAGGGGTGTAGGCGTGTAGCTCCTGTACCTGCGTCCTCTGCTGTGTTGGACAGCCTGGCAGGCAGTCTGAGTGAACACTATCCCCTGGATCTCTCTAAACTCCAGAATCTCCATAAAGTCCCTCGCCACGCCTGCATCAGGCACCACATAGTGAGTCACCTCTCCAGACAACACCTTGCCTTCTGTTGGGACAGAACAGGGAGAAAGAGAGAGAGGGTCAATCTGTCAAGAATTGGGATAGTGTATGAAGGTGTTTGAGCAGGTGCACACTGTCTCTGTAGGTATGAACATATTCAGATTCTACCCTGCCCTGACGGAGATCTTTGCTAACACAGCAACACTGTGTCAACAACATCCACGTCTATTCTTAGGGATAGGAATTTATGCACAGGAGTCTAGTCGTCTTCTCTACTTTTACTGTGATGGCCATGATCATTATTTTCTTGCTATTGTACTCAGGAACTAGCTGTTAAAGGGTTACAGGTGTTGTCACAGTGTAACAACTAACAACTATCACACGTAACTGTGTGATACAAAAGAGAAACGTCATAGTGTAGCTTATTCCTTGTTGTAATTTAGCTAGTTAGCGTGTTACATTTACGTTTCACTAACATTTGAGGACATCAAAAGGAAGACTTATAGAGTATTTTATTTTGTAAAACATCACTTTACCGTTGGCGCATTGTGCCTGACAGAGAGAGCTGTGGCAGGGAACATGTTCTCTCAAATAATGTTCCCGAACCACACGGACCTTCCGTCCTCGGGAACTCTTCAAATGCAACACCTTCTCGGTCTTAATCATTGTCACCCCGCTTCATAGAAAACGCTTGTTTTTGACAGATAAGCTGCTGTTGACAAGACAAGCGGGAACCGATTCCGAAGTTGTAAACAATCCATTCAAGTCCAGGAAGCACACTGCGCAAACGCGGCGGGCTGGTCGAGTTGACGTCATCAATTCCGTACACACGCCCATAGATTTTTATTCTAACAAATTATAACTGCCTATGTGTTTAGAAGAGCGGAAACAATGTTAACATGTCCAGTTTAAACCTTTCTTGGATGCAATGCACTGTCATGAGTGATTTGAATGTGCTTGTGTATCCCTGCCCTGACACCACAAATTAAATTCCCTTTGGAAAATAAAGTTATTCTAAATCTAAGTCTATTTAAAGCCAAAGAGAATTGCACTGATGATTGATCTCTCAACTGATTTATTGTGAAAATATGCAACAGTTTGTTTCTCCACCGATGTTAATGTTCTATGCAAAAAAAAATGTAGATGTGAGTTAATCAAACTGTATAATGATCATATCCAAACCAATGTGATCTTTTGATTAATTATTATCGTTATATTACGTGATTTTATGAATGAGCACGGCATCTATTTTCAAACTGACGAGCAGAAGCTATTTTTAAATTAAAATCACTTCCTGAATTGACTGCCTTCCATTCGAATTGACTCCAGCCCTGGTGCGGTGAGAGTACCAAAGATGAGAGCACTCGTGACGTCACTTGTATTTAAATGACCGCGCTCGAGCGCGAATTGCAGTGTAGATAGAAGCGATGCGCGAGAAGTGAGGAGCGAAGATAACAGAAGCTATAGGGCTTGACTGGTACACCCTTACGCGACAATTTATCCACAATTGAATCCACTTTCGCCACACCAAAAAATATTATCTTTATTTACCAGGTGCATACGACACTGTTGAACGATAGGCTACACAACTAAAGAGTGTCACTGGGAAGGAAGAGAGCGCAGAACACATAAAAAAGGTAGGCTCGCTGTTTCCGGGAATTTTCTAATGCCATTGAGTTGAGCAAGTTCTCCAGAATCTGTTTTAATGCCCATTCATTGCTCGTCTTTGATAAGTGTCACGTCTCAAGTGCTGCTGGGATAATTGCTATGTCTCAAGTGTTGTTGCAAGGTCTGATTGTGCTTGTTAATTAGTTGCGGTGTGATAAGAGTAGCCTATAATGAAATTGGTACCTCAAAGATATTGATGCTGAAAAGTATTGTGTTTGTGTGCGTGCTTCCATGAGGTTGAATTGTGTGTGTTGTAGCCTATTTGCTTCTATTCGAGTTAAATTGTAAATGTAATGTATATTGAACTATTTAAAACTGTTTTCTAAATACCTCTATACCAGAGGGTGGATTTTGTAGGGGCAATTTCTGCATTAGATTAAAATTACCATGTTATAAGCATGTTGCCAAATAACAATGAGATAAGAAGTGCTTATATCTAAAAAAGAGCACACTATATCATTACACCTCCAGCTCAGAGGTTTTGTTGATTATTTGTTTGATTATTTGGATCTCCTTGAGCCCACAATGGGGGCTTATCATCCCGAGAGTCCTATGAAAAAACCATAAAACACATAAAATATGTTACAGTGTTAAAGTATTTTACAGTAGCCTACAAACCATTGGAGTCGGATCCCTTGAATTATCACCATCACTGTGGGACAAGATCCAAGAACATTCACTTTATTCACATGTTACTGTGAGAAGTGAATCTACAAAGCAATAGAGGTTTTGATGTTGATGAGGTCTGACAGGAGGTCGTCATTGTCTAAAATGAGGTGGGTTTCGTACCAAAAGGCACCCTATATTCCCGATATAGTGCACTACTTTTGACCAAAGCTGATCAAAAGTAGTGCACTATATAGGGAATAGGGTGCCATTTGGGACAGACCCGTGATATTCTGCTCTGACCTTCAAGTTGGATGAGGCACCAGTAAAATGACTATTGATCCCTGTGTGGAAGCTGTCAATTGAGGCATTGTTATGCAGCAGAGAGATAGAGCTGTGTTTTTGCATAGTGACACACTGACAAATTCCCCACTAACACTAGATGGATGTCTTGAGCAAGGTTCTGGCGCTGTTGCTGTTTTTGGTTACTAAGAACAGATGAGGACAGTTTCATTTCAAATGCCAACTGCTTTTAATTCTGTATTGCTAATTAGACTATTGCTAGAATTCACTTTCCTTCAATTTGTCAGATAAAGAGAAAAGTTTTTAGTAACCATGTTCTTACACCACTGGCGTAGCGCATTTTCTCTGGAATCCCGCAAAGTCGGAGTTTGCCCCTGAAACACAGAAAATATTTTATGCGTCAGCCACCTCACAAAGTATAGACTACTGATCGCTGTCCATGGTTGTGAAATTGCAACGTCAACGCGGCTGCCTGTCCATCAACTATCAGATGATGTGGTGCTAGTGCTTGTAGGAGCCTATAGCTTTGCTTTAATGGATACATGTTTATATTTATTTGGTCGTCATTTTCTCATGTTAAGCCTAACCTTTATGTTCCACGAAGCCACAGGCCTACGGTGTCGTGTCGCAATGCTGCTATTTAGAATGCTGTCTGGCGGCAATAATGGAATTACTTGTTCAGTAATTAAAGTGAGAAATTCAAACATTGCAGATTGCAAAATGAATTTTCGATGCAACAGCATACTTAAACAATAAGGTCAGAGGGGGTGTGGTATATGGCCAATATACCACAGCTAAGGGCTGTTCTTAAGCATGAAGCAACGCGGAGTGCCAGGATGCAGCCCTTAGCTGTGGTATATTCACCATATACCACAAACCCCCGAGGTGCCTTATTGCTATTATAAACTGGTTACCAACGTAATTAGAGCAGTAAAAATAAATGTTTTGTCATTGCCCGTGGTATACGGTCTGATATACCACGGCTTTCAGCCAATCAGCATTCAGGGCTCGAACCACCGAGTTTATAATAATCAGTAACCAATAGATTTTTTTAGAATATACACGTGTCCTGTAGTTCTTAGCCGTCCTCGCGCTCTCTCTCAGCTTGGATAGAACGTTCGTGCCAGTCTATTAATGCCGAATAATCAGTAGTGGTGTGTGGGGAAAATCACTGGGTAAACCAAGCCAGGAAAAAATTCAATTTTACAACTATGTGTTGTGATAATTGTGTTGTTTGCTCTATAACCTGTTAGTTCATATGCCTTGCCACCTTGATATATAGGCCTAAGGTCCAGACAATAAGAAGACACAGTGGGAGAATAAATTCTAAAAAACACATTTGTTTCATTACAAAACCGGAGAGCAACATCTGTCCTGTGAAGTCCACAAAACATATTGTAACAAACCTACAGCATGGTCAATCAAGGTCATGTTTCCTACATTTTCGGACTAGCCACCAGAAGTTTTTTCTGTCAATGAGTTTGGCTTCTGATGTGACGTGATTGGTCTGAAGCCAAATCCAAACTGGCTTCCCTTGACACTTTTCTTTGGTGCGCCAGGACCAATCACAGCTGAGCTCACTCAGTTTAGCTCAACGCTGATTGACTATTATTTTTTTTATTTTTTTATTATCAAGGGAGGCCAAATGCTCGCTGGCAAATAATACAATCAGTCCACCATCAAAACAATAGTTTACTATGGATTGTTTCATTATGCAGACAATGCAGTCTAGCCTACTAGCCTGTCTATAGCTAGATACAGTATTTAGCTGGTAGTCTATTTATATTACACAGTGGAACTCAGACTCCATGCTCAGGGCTATCCGTCTCATCACTCGTAGGCTTACCAGTGTTCACAGAAGGGGGGGTCGCTCTCATGAGCGCCGCTGGGTCTCTGACAGTCGACAGCTTGGTTTTCTGGGAGAGGAGAAGGAGAAGGAGAGGGACTGTCACTATTCTCGGGGGGGCGGAAGAAGAGGAGGAGCAAGGCCACTGTCATTGCCGGGCCGGGCAGTGAGGTCTCTGTCGGGACTGGGAGGCTGCTAGCCTAGCCGGGCAGTGAGGTCTCGACTTTAGTGGTCAAATGCTCACCTTCGATGGCCACTGGCACACGTGGAGAAGTGTGCGCTTCACTGATGAATCCCGGTTTCAACTGTACCGGGCAGATGGCAGAGTGTGTATGGCGTCGTGTGGGCGAACGGTTTGCTGAGAGATACTGAGTCCCATTGTCGTGCCATTCATCCTCCGCCATCACCTCATGTTTTAGCATGATAGTGCACTGCCCCATGTTACAAGAATCTGTACACAATTCCTGAAAGCTGAAATGTCCCAGTTCTTCCATGGCCTGCATACTCAACAGACATGTCACCCATTGAGCATGTTTGGGATGCTCTGGATCGACGTGTACGACAGCGTGTTCCAGTTCCCACCAATATCCAGCAACTTCACACAGCCATTGAAGAGGAGTGGGACAACATTCCACAGGCCACAGTCAACAGCCTGATCAACTCTATGCGAAGGAGATGTGTCGCGCTGCATGAGGCAAATGGTGGCCACACCAGATACTGACTGGTTTTCTGATAAACGTACTTACCTTTTTTTAAAGGTATCTGTGACCAACATACAGTATGTATATCTATATTCCCAGTCATGTGAAATCCATAGATTAGAGCCTAATTTATTTATTTAAATTGACTGATTTCCTTATATGAACTGTAACTCAGTAAAATATATGAAATTGTTGCGTTTATATTTGTGTTCAGTGTATATTGTCTGTCTGGCTCACCTGCTACATTTTAGTCATTTAGCAGACGCTCTTATCCAGAGCGACTTACAGTTAATGAGTGCATACATTATTATTTTTTCATACTGGTCCCCCTTGGGAATCGAACCCACTACCCTGGCGTTGCTCTACCAACTGAGCTACATCCCTGCCGGCCATCCCCTCCCCTACCCTGGGCCAATTGTGCGCCACCCCATGGGTCTCCCGGTCGCGGCCGGCTACGACAGAGCCTGGATTCAAACCAGGATCTCTAGTGGCACAGCTAGCACTGCCTTAGACCACTGCGCCACTCGGGAGAATGTGGAAATTAAAAAGGAGAGTTATCTTTAAAATTATTTATAAAAAAAATGTATACAATTTAGACATAGGTATGAGATGACGGGCGCATGGGCACCCAGAGCTCGTGGG